AAAAGCCCCACATAATTATTTGATGCTAACTAAAATGTGCTAAGTAGACAAAACATTTAACACGATGGGAGGTTCTTCCCTGCTCGCTGAGTGGAAGGGTTGAGATGATGATGAAACTCCTCGACTTTTGTTTCCATTCCAGTCCGTACCTGTACCAATATCTATTTTTAACGCATTAAATAAATGTCTCTTAATTCATTTGGCAAAAAAGGAGCCCTAAAATAGAATAAAAACTCTTCTATCAAAAGAAAAACGTGGTCTGGGTCTACCAAACCTGAAAGATTATTACTGGGCTGCACAATTGATCACAGTACTGGCATGGATGAGGAAGCATCAAGAAACAGGGTGGGTACAGATAGAACAAAGCACAGCTAAAGGAGTAGATTTATCAACGCTACCTTTTTATTAGGAAGAAATCTGGAATACAAAAAACATTAAAATGGAAAATTAATGGATTGAACATACCTTAAATGTCTGGGCAACAGTCAGGAAAACATAGGGGTCCCCTTGTCACTGTCGAGAGCCATGCCAGTAGTGGGCAGTATCGAGTTCCCCCCCGTCACCGTGGGACGATGTGTTTAAGAGGAGGACCAGTAAAAGACTGAACACAATAAACCTATTTATTGGAACAGAACTCAAAATCATTTAACCAGGAACAATTTCAGCTGTCATCTAAAGACCTATACAGATATTTTAAAATAAAATATTATATTACAAGTCACAAAGAAAACAAGATGGTGAGAGAAAAAAATCCAAATTATATAAAACCGTATTTTATAATGACTACTACAGAAAAACACTTATACCCATTATAAAGCATGTTTCTTATTTATATGACTCATAAAGGTTATATATATATATATATATATATATATATATATATATATATATATATATACACGCACAATACTAAAATACTACTTAACTACTTAAATTCTGTATATATTAAGGAAATATGTGAACTGGAATTAAATGTAGTCATTGGGGATAAAATAAATGTTACGTACAAATGGTCATAGCGGACTTAATAGTCCATTGTGAAAAGAATGTGACTGGAAATTAAAAACGTGGTATTTAAAACACCCCTTGTGACCTCATTATAAATGAAAGAACCAAATGTGGAACTCTGTTGAGGGAAATGTGGAAATATAGAAGGTCCTTCACATATTTTGAGACTGTCCAGTAATCCAAAGATTCTGGAAAAATGTTAAAGGACAAATTGTACGTAGTTGTACAAATAAAATTATTAGACCCACTGGTGGTTCTGCTGGGAAATATACTTAAAGAAACATGTAGCTCAGAGAAGAAATACGTTTTCAGGATTCTTTTACTCATAGCCAATATAGTGATAACGGTAAACAGGAAACAAACAGAACCTCAATCCATAACTGAATGGGCACAAAGTTTGAAGTGGGTCTATGCAATGGAACAAATTAATGACTGCAAGTTTGCAACAGAACGTGAATATTTTTGAACAAGTGTGGTCATGTGTGACTATTTGAATAAATGAGTGAGGGATGTGGACTACTGCGACAGATAAACTACAGTAAAATGTTAAATTGTTCAACTAGTTTGTAAACGGCACTGAATTGAGTTGGACTCCTTATAGATGTAACTTTTATTTCACTGTGCTATTTTTTATTCTTGTCATGAATACTTGTGACATTGTGAGGTCCTGTCAGAATGTTATTTTCTGTAAATACATGAAAAAATGAACCAAAAACAGAAACGATAAAATAAGAGCGGTACAGTGAAGTAGGACACTTTGCCTCAGCAGCAGCGTACAGAGGGCAAGAGATTTTTAGAGACGAGGAGGAGAGGGAGATGAATAAGGGCTGTCATAATCTGGCTGCTACCCTGAGGGTACAGAATGCAAAGCATGCTGGGAGGACACATTCATACCCTCTACAGTGTAAAGTAAGAACACCATGCCATTTCTTCCTGTTGTATAAAAAACATTTTCTTTAAGGAATTCCAATTTATTTCTTCCACGGTGCAGCTGAATTTCATCATGATGGATTTAAGAAGTAACTCAGGATTTTCCTTGTTTATCACCAGTTTCTACACACATGCACTGGAGCTTCTTTCCTATTTAAACATTTTGTTCTGTATGCAAATTTCATAATAAATCATAGATTGGTTTAAATTAGAGCCCGACCAATATGTACATTTTGGCCATCGACAGTACTGATATTGGGAGGGGAAGACTAACGCCAATAAACGATGTATATTGGCTGAAGTTTTTTGAGCATCGTCTACCCCCAAGTATCTAAGAAAACGGCTACTTTAAAACCTGTTTTACACTTGAAGTCTTGAAATGGTCTTCCTAGCGTGCGTACACATTTTTTCTTTGCAGAGAAGTAAAGATTTCAGATAAAAAATGCATTTCATTGAAGACAACAAAGATAACGTTGCTAAACTGATATATATTTTTTCCTCTACGTTAGATTTATTGTTTTGGATAAAGTTTTACAAGGTAACAGTATATGCTACTCTAGCTAAACTTTAGCTTGTTCACTTGAGAGGCACGTAGCCTAATGACAAGCAGGTTGGAGGATTGAAGAGAATTGACTATTAATTTGTTTTACAGATGAGGTAAAATAAATTTACTATGCTCTGTTTAGCAAAAGCGCTACACAGTACCGCTCGCTGCTTCAGCTGTGCTGTGAGTCAAGTGGCATGGCCATGACTTGAAAATAGTCTTCATGCGCCCTCTGCTGGATACGTTGTACAATTACGCCTTTTGCAAATAAGGACACGGCTCGTTCCCAGCATTTTGTGGTGAAATTAGGAGTGTTTATATCGGCTTATAATGGGCCAAATATTGATTCGATATGTTGTGACTTGGCTCTATATGAATAAACTGAATTGAATGTTCTCAAAGCTCCTATCCATCCATCCATTATCTTTACCCGTTTGTTCCATTTTTGGGTCACGGGGGTCGCTGGTGCCCATGTCCAGCAATCACTGTGCGAGGGGCGGGGTACACCCTGGACGGGTCGCAAGTCCATCACAGGGACACATAGAGACAAACGAGACAAACAACCATTCACTCTCTCACTCACACCTAGGGACAATTTTAGAGTTACCAATCAGCCTAACATGCATGTTTTTGGTCTGTGGGAGGAAACCGGAGTACCCGGAGAAAACCCACGCATGCACGAGAGAACATGCAAACTCCACCCAGAAAGGCCCCTGGACCGGGGTTTGAACCAGGGACCTGCTCTCAAAGCTCCTATATGGGCCTAAAATATCGGCCCTACTGATATATCAGCACGGGCTCTAGTTTATACACCAAAGCATGTGGCTCTATCAGGAGCGGTCTTTTTTTTTTTTACCCCAGTGTGTCTCACTGCTATAGGAATCATGATTTTCTCTCAGCCACCCTCAAAATGCAGACGGTACTCAGCCAAGTCCAATAATTCTCAGTCAGTTCATCTGGACAGTTTCTTTTTTATAGAGACGTTTCACCCTTGATCCAGAGGGCTTCGTCAGTCTGAGGAATTCCAGTAAACTGTTTCCCCACCAGGGCAGCACGGTTGCGCAACTGGTAGAGCTGCTGCCTCTCAGCGAGCAGGTCCCTGGTTCAAACCCTGGTCCGGGTGCCTTTCTGGGTGGAGTTTGCATGTTCTCTCCGTGCATGTGTAGATTTTCTCCGGGTACTCCGGTTTCCTCCCAAAGACCAAAAACATGCATGTTAGGCTGAATGGTAACTCTAAAATGTCCCTACGAGTGAGTGAGTGAGAGAGTGAATGGTCGTTTGTCTCTATGTGTCCCTGTGATGGACTTGAGACCCGTCCAGGGTGTACCCCGCCCCTTGCACAGTGATTGCTGGACATGGGCACCGGCGACCCCCGTGACCCAAAATGGAATAAGCGGGTAAAGATAATGGATGGATACTTCCCCACCAAGCAGTAAACTCCTTAAGTGGACCAACCAGTTTGCTGGAGATAAGATGGTTTGTGGGGGCTGTCCTGTCCCCCATCGACTCCTCCCAGGCAGGCAGCCACAGCCAAAGTGGTTCAAAGCAACAAAGTTCATGCTCAATCATCCAGGTACCAAATCCAATAATTCTCAGTTGGGGTCATCAGAACAGTTTTTTTTTTTTTTAATAGAGACGTTTCGCCCTCTATCCAGAGGTTCTATAAAAAAGAAACCGTCCAGATGACACGACTGAGAATTATTGGATTTGGTACCTGGATGATTGAGCATGAACTTTGTTTACTCAGCCAAGCCTCCATAGATGGTGTGTATAACCTCAGACTTACCCTGGGCGACATCATCGTATCACTTGTCTGTTCAGACATTGATGATTTAACGTTGAATGAAATTTCACTGAGGAATTATCAGCATTGTCTCACTTGCCTTCAAGACTTGGTTATCAAATGTGAAAACATAGTGAAGTACACGAGATGAAGTTTTTACACTCACGGGATCTTTAATCCTAGTCAGCTCTGTTCCTGGCTGACATCAGAGGAGGGCTGTCTGATTTAAGTAGCTGCAGTACTGAGACCATAATAGTCCCTGAGGCATCAAGCCACGTGGTTTCTAGAGCACCGTTCAAACTAGGCTTTGCCATACACAACCCCCACCACTCCATTCCCTTTACATAACGGCTTTGTACACACGACCGTTAACAGAACTTTCATAAAAACACGATTCAGACGTCTGCAGCGACGTTCCTCCTCTCCTCTGTGTTCTGGGCTGCAGATGATGTTTTTGGGACGTGGTCATGTTTACTGGGGCCACAGTTTGAGCTTAGCTGCTGCTTCTGTTTAAACTTTACATTTTTAAAGGTTGAAGCCAGTATTTTCTTTTCAGTCTGCTGCAGGTTGTCATTGTAAATACTTTACTCGGCTTCAAAGACAACCAGGTCTGTTAATTCATCTTATTTCCTATTGTTGAAGGATTTACTCATTTTGAATAAAACTCCCTTCTGGTAATTTATTTGACCTACAGTAAAATGTATAAGTTTAAGGCCTGTGTTTACTCTTGTGCAGTTAAGGATCTGATCCACTGGCGAGACCCCAAGAAGTCTGGTGTGGTGTTCGGCCTGTCCATGCTGATGCTGCTGTCGCTGGCAGCCTTCAGCGTCATCAGCGTGGTCTCCTACCTGCTGCTCGCCCTGCTCTGCGTCACCATCACCTTCCGCATCTACAAGTCTGTCGTGCAGGCGGTGCAGAAGTCCAACGAGGGACACCCATTCAAGTAAGACGGCATCCTTCTTTTTCTGCTCTTTTTTTTTTGGACATAACAAGCAAACAATGGAAAATCTGGCATTTGAGGGAATGCATATTGCCCCCCACCTTTCATGACAGAACTTTAAGATCACTTAGTTGTAAATAATGTTATGCACAATCTTGTGCAATATTGTAAGATGTCATTGAGTGTGTTGGGAATCAGTTTCAGCCTCTACTATATGAAACTTTAGCATATCTGTCATTTTGTGTTGACTGATGTTGATTACTGTACTTGCTGCCGTACACGTCCCACAGCCGTATAAGTCGTATCAGTCCAAAATTGTCTAATAAAGTGGGAATAAAAACAAATGCGTCGCATCGCTGTATAAATCACATCTGTTACACATCACCACTGAACACCCAGAAATGTGGGCCGGTGTTGTGCCAAAAATTGATTGACTGCCAAATGGCGGCTGCGGGAACGTGCACAGGAGGACTTTAACAAGAATTTAACAAGATTAACACTTAAAAACAATTGTTTGTTTGCTCGACATTAAGGTGTGTCTCAGTTGAACTTTTCCTTAATAAATGCACTTTAATGGTCAAATTAGCTGCTTTTCTCCTGGGCAGCGTAGTGAAATGCAGCTGATTTGATGTTTGCTCCAGGAGTTCTGGAGCAAGACGAAGGTGGCTTGTTATATATGGCAAGCCAAGTGTCTCGTTAATAGCCACTTTTACCTATTAATGAGACACTTGGCTTGCCTAATGCTCTAGGGCCCTCTAGTGGTTGAAAATGGTAGTGTTCAATATTTTCCATGACAGAATGAATGAAATTGTCAGATCTCAGCCAAACATTGGATTATAAATAAAAAACATATATTAGTCACTTCAGTGGATAAGTCGCAGTTCTTGAAAATTTATGTAAAAAGGTGCGACTTATCCGGCGAAAAATACAGTAGTTGTAGCCAGATATATACCCACTCCTCTTACTGTGCTGCTGTCAATTCATCTGTTTAGTTACTAAATGTTCCTCCAGCTCGTGTATTTGTACCACTTGGTTTTACAGCTTTTTGTTGACCCTAGACTAAAGTATTTTATCTGTTCTTCTCCACAGTGTAACTTCTACACACTTGATTTAAGGTTTACTTTCATTTTCTGTTCAGTTCGTCCAGAAAAACACTCATGTCAAAAACTACAAACATTCACTATCATATCCCTCTGCGACGGGGGACATCGACGTACTGCTTCTGTAATTTTATTCTACTCTAATCTACTTGTGGTTTTGTGAGTCATGAGGTCCATGAATGTTCTGTTTTGTAAGGAAAATGCAGTATTACATAAAAAGCTTTTTTTTTTTCATAATTAAATGTATGACTAATCAAATTATTAGCTTTTGAAGTCTGTTTAATGCTAGGTGTCCTCCACAGCTGCTCCATGACAACAATGTTTATGAGTTAGGCTGTTTTACAGGGACTGAGCTAAAATTAGGTGTGGTTAGTAGCTGAGAGTCATTCACTAGACCTGCTCAGTTAAATTGAAAGTATTTTTATGATCATATAAAATCACACAACTTTCAAGGTTTGACAAAAATGGCTACAAATCAGTTTTTCCTCAACCTAAAGTTCTGGGATGAAAGGCAGAAAATAACGCGTTCCTTCAAGAAGAGCTTAACCTTTTCTGCTTGAGCTCAAGCCCGTGTTTAATTTCCCTCCTCGTTCATTTTCTCTACAGAGCGCTGATCGAGAAAGACGTCAGCGTCCCTCCTGAAACTTTCCGCAAGCACGTGGACTCCAGCCTGACCTACATCAACCGAGCCCTGAAGCAGATGAGCCGCCTCTTCCTGGTGGAGGACCTCGTGGACTCCCTGAAGGTGAGCAGCTGCAGCCTCGCTTTCTGTCCTCCTGCAGTTTTAACTCACCACCTCTTTCATGTATCTGTGTTCATTCGTTCATGTGTTTGTGTGTTTTTTCATTCATTCAACTTTATTCAGACAGGTTAATCCCACTGAGCCTCGAGGACTCATTTACAAGAGAGACCTGAACTAAGAAATGTTTACTCTAAAACTCTAAAATGTGTCGGGAACATGTGGACGAAAGTTACTGAAACTCAGAAAGTCATCACTGGATGTTCATCTACAACGGATGAAAGTTTGGTTTCAACATGATTGAAGATGGCCGACATTGACTGTAAGCTCAAATGCACTTTATTTCTCAGATGTTGACCTAAAATTTGGTGTAATAGCAGCTGAGACTGATCCCAACACAGCTGAAACCAGATGTTTACATACACTGCACACAAAGACACAGAACCTTATTGTTTGTATGTTCTCGCTCGCCTGTTTTCAATTCACTTGCACCTGATTTACGACTGAGCGATTAATATTCTTCTGAAGAACTTCAAGACCTGCTGAAGACAGGAAAACAGCTGAAGTTTGTCATTCAGTCAACCTTTATTTATACAGGCTGGTCTCATTAAGGACTCGTTTTCAAGGGAGTCCTGTTTTAGACAAACCACAGATCAGGTACACACAACAATAAACAATCAAATGCAAATAAAATAACAAGTAGTGTTATAAAACCAATTCAAATCAAGGTGTCCTATAAAACAAGGTAAATACCAAAAGTATGCAGAATAGTGTTCTTTAAGCACCGGGGTTGAGAACCCTGGATGTGAATGTTTCTACATCATCTCACCATTAAGATCCGTTTTCCTCCCGTACGTTTTTCAGCACCTAACTCCTTCTGTAGTTTAGTTTCTATTTCAACCATTCATGAATCAAAACGTTCAGCCCATGCAGGACATTCCTGCTCTGACGCTTGGTATTTGTACAATTTTGACTTTTAGAAATATTTAGCTTTGTCGGCCATGTTTTCCTCATTGAAAATGAATGGAGCTCTCTACATCCTTCAAACACTTTGAGCTGTTTCAAACCTTTCACTGCTCATTTCAGCTTTTTTCTTCTAATGTCAGCGTTTTGAGCAACTTTAGCTTATTACAGCTAAATTCTGTGCTTTTTGTGCTTTCTGTGCTACTTTTATCTTAATTTTTTTTTGTGCAAATTTAAGAATTTTTTGTGCTCTATTTAGCATCCCTCTGCATATTTCACCTTATTCTGCTCATTTTTGTTACATTTCATCAGCTTTTTTTTTTTTCACATTCCTGCTTATTTATTTATTTCTGCTTTTATTATCCTGCTTTCCGTAAATATCAGCTGTTCAAATTCAGCTTGCATTAACCATTTAGCAATGAAACCTTCAGCTACTTTCATCAAAAATTATTCAGTAACAAGTACGGGACTTGCCGGTGTAAACTTTGCACCATTAATAACTTTTACCTATTAATGAGACACTTGGCTTGCTGTATTAGTTGAGGGCCCTCTAGTGGTTGAAAATGTTAATGTTCAATATTTTCCATGTCAGAATGAATGAAATTGTCAGATCTCAGCCAAACATTGGATTATAAATATGTGGGGGAAACATAAATATGTCTCTTCGCTGTATAAATCACAGCCATGCTAAAAACTGACTTATACAGTGAAGAATATGGTATTCACTGCATTTCTACAGGAAATGACATCTCTACTGTCTTTTTAGTTTTGTGTATGTTGTATCCATGTGCTCTTTGCTGAATGACTTTTCTGAAGCTGAAACTTTGCTAAAGCTAAAAGTAGACTTCTAGCTAAAAGCTTAAAACAGTGAAAATGCTTGTAAAAAAAGATAAAAGAAGCTAAACATTAGCTAAAAACAAAAAACATCTCAAATGGGAGCTAAAAGCTTAAGGTAGCATATGTAAAAGTGTTAGTTCTCCAGTCGTCAGTCATCTTTGTTGCTCTCTACATGTAAACAACATGTTTACCTGTTTATGGAGCAGCAGACTTTGCTTTATCAAACAGATTTTAGGCTTTCTGTCTTGTTCTGGGCACACTGAGGCTGGGATCTGAGCTAATGGTTCACTGGTTCCAAAGTTCACCTGAAGCAGGTCTGAAGGGTTCCAAACCTAATTCCTGAGGCCCAGTCATTCGGGAGGGGCACCTTGGGTTTTGAGAGGATCCGGTTCAGGTGGTTCCTCCCTGACACCTCCCAGGTGAGGTGGTTGAGTCGGAGATCATCTCTGTACCTCCCTGCTCTGAGCAACTGACTTTAATTAATTTAAAATGATGAAACGTTTTCTTTCTGAATGTAACTTACTCTAAGAGCTGGGGGAAGTTCGGTGCCTCTGGGTCACTTCACATGAATGAGTTGTATTCAGTTTATCAGGGCTTAAAAATAAAACAAGAACATTATGGAACATCAAAGTTCATACTCTGTAATGCAGGTAAAACATCCAACAAAGGTCAGTCAGGTCATCTGGATGGTTTCTTTTTTTTGTTGAAGTGTTTTGTTCTTCATCCAAAGGACTTCATCAGTCCAAGGAGCAACAACAAACTCAGCCCCACAAGTAGCACACTCCTACAGTGGACCAACCAGTTTGAAGGTGATGAGATGGTTTCTTGGGCCCGCCCTCTCCCCCGGCAACTCTTCTGAGGCAGCCATAGCCCAAGTGGTTCAAAACATCAAAGTTCATGCTCAATAATCCAGGTGAAAAATCCAACAAAGGTCAGTCAGGTCATCTGGACAGTTGCTTTTTTTAAATTTCTTGAGCCGTTTCGTTCCTTTGTCCTAAGGACTTCTTCAATCCGAGGAGCCACAAACAAACTCAGTCCCTCATCTCCTCGGATTGATGAAGTCCTTAGGATGAAGGAACAAAACGTCTAAAAAAAAAAAAAGAAATCGTCCAGATGACCTGACTGACCTTTGCTGGACATTATGGGACCTTCAGGTTTGGACCTCAAGATGATCTCAGTCTAAAACTCTGGCTTTTAATGATCATTGTACCCAAAAAACAAATCTGTGTATCTGTTAGAAAAATCTGAGTGCCGCTGATTTTAATGCTAGGCTGAAATGTAAACGTTGATTGTTCTCATGTAGATACAGATGGCACCTTAACAATGACACATTCAGATGTTTGAACGCATCAGGTCCTTATCCAAACAGACGGGATTGAGCAGGGCGTCCCTCCCTGACTGGTGCAGCAGCTCTGACAGAAACTGTCAGGAAACGCTGTTGGACTGTGGGTGTGTCTGCAGCTACAAGACAACTGAGCTGGATACACGTGCAGAGATTCCTTTTGGTTTCACTGTGATTTCAGAGAGATGTGTACCAAACTGGTGACTGGGGGTTCTGGAGCCACATGAGTGGACACAGGGAGACTGCTGCAAGAGGGAGGGAGTAACACGACAAATGGAGTGTAGCTGTGTGTCACTTCTGAAAAGGCTGTTTTAAATAGGACTATTCATCAAAAGTCTTGAAGGAATGACGCGTCACCTGCCTCCTTTCATTATGGAGTTTGAAACTGTGGTGAAAAATGGTGGCAGCCCTTTTGTTTAGGTTTACTTCATTCCCTGTTCAGTTCCAGTCCAGAAAAACACTCGCCCTACAAACTACAACATTCATTCATTCAAATCCCTCAGAGACTGGGAACACTGGTGCATCACTTGTTTAAACCTTGAAAACAACGTTGGGACAGTTTCACGCAGCATCAGGAGATGTCATACTTCTCATTTGTATTGGGAACGACTCTCAGCTACTACCACATCAAATTTGATCTTATCAGTAAAAGCGACTGAGTTGGAGCCATTTATGTTTTCTGAGCTCGGATCGCTGCAGCTGCCATCTTGAATGGTGCTGACCCCAATCAGTGAATCAGTTGTAGATGTACATCCAGTAATACTTTGGTTCCAGAGGTATTTTTCCAACAGTACAGACAAACGACACACCTTCTGCTTCATGTGATGAGACTGTGTGAACATCTGTGTAATAACTAATGCACCGGCCAGAGGGGCCCGTGGAACAGGAAGAGTTGTCACGTAAAACAGGAAGTGCTGGCTCACCTCATGTCTCCTGTTTTTTCTCCCAGCTGGCTGTGGTCATGTGGCTGTTGACCTACGTTGGAGCAGTTTTTAACGGAATCACCATTCTCATCCTGGGTAAGCATCACAGAAACAACAAAATAAAAAACTACCAGCACGGTAAATCTCTGCTGTCTCTGATGGCCCTCCTGTGTCCTGATCCTATAAAAAATAAATGCCCTGCAGCCAATAGGACACATGCATCATTGTCACAGACTGTTAGCGCAGCATAAGACCAACTGTAGGTTTAACGTGACCTGTCTGTGTTTTTAGCGGACATCCTGCTCTTTGCTGTGCCTCCCGTCTATGAGAAAAATAAGGTAAGAACAGCTGCCTCTCTCTCCTCTCCTCCTCCTGAACCAGAGCTACGTCAGCTGGGTGAGCTCAGCAGATGATTCAAGCCTTCATCAGACACTGAAGGCTTTTGTTGCGGTCCTTTACTTAATTTCATCATGAAGTCTTAGTCACATTTATTAGACAAAAAAAAAAGCCAAAGACATTAAAGGTTGAGTGAAAACCTGCATCCAGCTGTTGATCCAGCTGCCTGTAGAACCTCCTCGTGTTCGGCAGCAGTCTCTCACTGACGTTTCTGCTCTCTGAAGGTCCCACCACAGGCTTACAGTCATGGTGAGGTTCTGGACCTTGACTGGACCGATGCAGCACCTTGTGTTGTGGATCAGCTGCTGTTTGGGATCATTGTCCATAGGCCTGTCACGATAACAAATTTTTCTGGGCGATTGTCTCAGAAGTTCTTGCGATAAACGATAATATTGATAATATTGATAATATTGTTTGAAATTTGACAATAATTAGTAATCGTCAAATTTAAGAAGAAATGTTTAATTTGTTTTGTATGTAGTACCTTTTTGTGACCACTGGATGGCAGTGTAAGGCTGTTTGAACTGAATGATGGATAGTGATGGAGCAGCGTGTCTCAAAGAAAAATGGGAGAGAGGCCTCTTGACGTGACATGGACTCTGTCTCTTCTGTTCTCAAAATGGCGGACGCTCGGTGGTTTCAGCTCTTTAGCGTAGCATTTTTCACACAAAGCTTTTAATTTAAAAAATCAGTAAACAAGTTCTCAGCTTCTTTTTGTAGAGAAAAACAACTTTTTACATGAAGGCACGAGTTTCAACTGTGAATTTTGGAGCTTTGACAAGACGGAGGTTTTTTCTCGAGGTCGGCCTGTTAGCTTAGCTTGTAGATTAGCTTCTCAGCTTAGCTGCTTTTAATGATCCAAAAACATGATTTTGGACAGTTAAAATACATTTTAAAGAGAAAAGAGAAAGGAAGAGCACCGGAGTTGAGCTTTTTATCATCCAGTGTCTTCAATAGAAAGAGAGACATGAAGAAACAATAAAGCCGATAAATGAAAATGAGGTTAATTTTCATTTATCATGTGATTAATTGATTTATTGTTTGTCATGACAGGTCTAATTGTCCAGTTTTTCACTTTAAGCTGACTTACTTTTGGCTCCAGAAGTCTTTGTTCTACAGAAGAGTTCATGGTCCATTCATTGCCCGCAAGCAGCCCAAACCATCACACCACCTCCACCGTGCTTGATGTGAGGTGTTTCTGTTAATACGCTGTTCGGTCTGTACGCAGACGGAGAACAGTGCATTATGGGTAAACATAACAAAGGACGTTGGCCCAGAAGTCTTGTTTAGTAAACCTAAGTTGTGCTGCCCTGTTGTTTTAGAGAGAAGATCTCTCCTGCAGCTCTTCCAGACAAACGTACTGGTTCAGTGCTTCTCTAATCATTCTGTCATGACATTTTGACCTTTAACCTGCTGACTGACTGAGGCCTGTGAAGATAGACCTGTTCTTTTCACCTTGGGCTTAATTAGTTGGATTACCCACTCCTGGGATCATTGACAATGTTTTCTACTTGTTAAAATATATTTCTTTGTAGAACAATGGACTCTAGAGGGTTTGGAAATGACCTTTGACCCTTTATAGATAGATGGGCAGTGACAGGTGCTTCTCTGGGATCATTGCTGTTGTCTTTCCTTTTTGGCATTATGTTAACACTCACCTCCAGAGCAGCAAACTGACGGGGAGGTGTGTCATTTGATTTAAATAATGTTAGAACCTGGTAAAGGTCAGATCATTTTATGTCCTGATACTAAAAACCCTTGATCTGAAGAGGGGGGGGGGGGGGGTGTACAGGTTTCCAGCTCAGACAGATCATTGATTTTGACGGTTACTCTAGAAAAGTCAGTGGTGGGTACAGATCTGCTAATAGAACTAATTTTTTAGTGGATTAGTGTTTTAGCTAACTTTGGAAACTGTTCGCAGAATTAGCTTCTGCTAAATTAGGTTTTGCTAAGTCCTCTAATGAAATTCACCATCTTGTTCCTGTCTGTTGTGGAGTGTCTTGAAGAGTCTGTTAGGCACACTATTGGCTGACTACGTGTACACGTGACGAGACGTGATTGGTCGACGCAGCTACGACTGGTGGAAGGAGACGAAGACGTGAGACAGACTGAGTGACAGTCGTCTTGGCCGTTTAGCGTTAGCAAAGCAAATGTTTTGGTTAGCGGACTATGTGTTAGCGAAGCTAACACTTTGGTTAGCTGTGCCCAGCACTGGAAAGCGTTGACTCTGCAGGATTAAAACAGGACAAACCTGCATCAGCAGAGAGCACACGTGATTCTTACATGACCCAACTCATCACATTCTTTCCATGCAGACAAGAATAACTTGTTTGATACCTTTTGAGGCTCCTCTCTCTTTCTCTCACGTTGACCACTTAGCCTGAATGTTGTTGGAGATGGAAAGTTATTTTAGGTCTTCAGAGAAAGATGTGACAGTTTTGTTTTTCCAAACTTTCCTCTCTCCAGACCCAGATTGATCATTACATCGATCTTGTACGTACTCAAGTCAACACCACACTTGCAAAGTAAGTGATCGTGCTCATCGTGTGGTTTTCATCATCTGTGCTTCTTAATGTTCTTATCAAGATCAGTCCACACAGGTTTTAGGGTGACATTTAAGCACCTTCTCAATTAAAAAGATAATTCCAGTTCTGACATTCTTTTGGTCCTTGTTTATTTTCACATCGATTTCAAATTATGTCACATTTTATGAGTTTATGACTTTAGTCTGTAGCTGTAGAAAAAAAACTCTAAACAAAGGCTTTTTAAGATGAGTTGGTGCAATCTGTTGGGCATTCATTGAGTTGGATTATAAATCTGTATAATCTGAAATCACTTGTCTGCTCAGGTTGGGTCAGTGGGTTCTCACCGGGGGGGGGGGGGGCAGTAAGATATGATGCATTTAAAGGAGCTGAGAAAAGCTGAACTCCTGGTGAATTAGATTCAGACTGCTAAAACAGCTGCAACATTTAAAAACCGGATTCACAATCAATATTTTATTGTTGCTGTTGGATAAAAAATATCCTCTATTCAACTTATTTACTCAGAGAAGCCACACTTCAGAACACGAGAAGATTTTTTACCGGTTTTATTTGCAACGGCAGACTTTAGCCACAGGTTACACAGATGTACAGAAGTTGCATGCATGGAGTCCAGTCACGAGAATCTGCCACGGGCAGTGTACGAGGCTTGTTTTTATAAACTTATCAGCTCTCAGGCAAACTGGTGACTTTGACCATCCAGCTGCACATGCAGGATCAGTTCAGCTCCTCGTTCAGCTCTCTGTCTGAGAGAAAATGACTTTAACTCAAACACATGGATCGTGGGCAGTTAGTATTCTCAACCATAGTGGTTAAAAACATCCATAAACCTTGACCAAAATCTCCTGACAGTTGCATTCTCTACCTCGGATATACTTCATGTATACTTTTGGACTCACTTGAGCTAAATTTTCCACATAAAACACAAGAAAATATGGCACAAGTTTGTCAAAGACGACATTCTGCGTCAAATATTAAAGCACCATGTGTTTAGGTGAAACTTTTGTCAGAACGATCCCAGTTAAAACGTTTTAACTCCTTCTTGAAGCAGCTTAATGAAAACCTGTTGAGGAATAAAACTAACATCAAATTATAAAGTGAATGCTACTGTAAATTCTGGCCTATTGAGTGCAACTGAATATAAGCCACGCCCACTCAATTAAAAGTAGTAATGTTTTTGTACATATATAAGCAACGCTTGTGCCGTGGGTGTTCACGTTGTAACATGAGATATTTACACATTTAACTTTTAATTAAATATGCACCAGGAACATACACAAATATGTACAGTAAATGTTTTTTTCTGTAACACAGCTGGTTAAAGATAAATAACAGGGATGCACGATATTGGACTTTTGTCCGATATGCTGATATGTTAAAACTTATTTGGCTGATACCGATATTTTATATACTTTCCATTGTCAGAACATAGCCCTCTTATTTAGGCTTATTTGCTACAAAAATTGTGCAACAGCTGTAAGAACTGGTGACATATATCCAGTAACAGCCATATGATATGCATAGCACTTTAACTTGTATTAATGAAAAATGTTAAATGTTATTTATTAGCATTAGTCGCCTGCGATGCTGTCTCACTTATGGAGGCTTGTTCCAGGTTCCTAGCTGCAGTGTGGGATCCTCTGCACTCTTGTGCATGAAGGACAGACTTTTTAAGTTCAAAGTTTTTGTC